ATTATGTTTCTAGCTAAGTTGAACTCTTGAAAAGTACACGTATCAATGTTTCAAAATATATAACATAGGTGTTATACTTTAATGTATAATAGAGGATTTATAGGTGTAACATAGGTATTATACATTAGTGTGTAACAGAGGATTCATAGCCTCAGGACCTGTCAATTTTTTCCGTATAGTGGCTGATATGCTCCAGGCATCAATTTTTGTAACAAGATCTTAGAACCCTTTTAGTGTTTCCTTGAGAAAATTACTGCAATCATTCTCAGGTAACCTTCTATATATACCTGCATGCACTTCAATATTTTCCTCAAAGCAAGCCTTAAAATTCCCCTCAAATCAAATACTACTAGTGCAAATTTTCAATCCCAATATTAGGATGGAAGCAGTGAGGAGATTGGGGTCAGAAAAGCCAGTGGTGATCTTCAGCAAGAGCAACTGCTGCATTTCCCATGCTATAAAGATGTTGTTAAGCAGCTTCGGGGCGAATCCTACGGTTTATGAGCTTGATCAACATCCAAAAGGAAAGGAAATCGAGAATGCGTTGCTAGCATTAGGATGCCATCCAAGTGTTCCTGCTGTTTTCATAGGGAAGCTTTTTGTTGGTGGTTCTGATGAGGTTATGAGCCTCAATGTTCAGGGCAAGTTGAAGCCACTGCTTATCAAGGCCAACGCTATATGGATGTGAGATTAATCAGATGTTCTGAAACATCTAATGAATTAGCCTCGGTTCTTTTTTTTTTTTTTTTCCTTCTAAAGAAAGCCACTAAGAATCTTGGATAGTATAAACTCCTACAGGTGTTTTTTTGTATTATAATATGTGAGTTAGATATTCTATGTCTCTACCTTTTGATTTTGATGTACTAAGGGTGCCAGATACTTTTGTATTGCAGTATCTTTGTTTTTGTATGGTTTATCAAGTGGAAGTCAAAATATGTCACCAAACAATGTCAAAAGTTTGCTTTTTCCTCCAGACCTTCTTATTTATTTACTTATTTTTTGGGTCAGTTTACTCATTGAACTCTTAAACATGCTTTCTTGGTCATTTCTTAAGTTAACTGAGTTGATGTCCCTTGCATACTATCATATCATGGGCATGCATGTCCTTCAGTTTTCAAGAAATCCCTAATACATATTAAGAATTCTATGTGTATAAGGACACCAAAAAAAAAAAAATTAAGAGAGAAAAAGAAGACAAATTTAATTAATAGGTGAAATCAAACTCTGAAATAGTTTCGTAATTGCATTTTCTCAAAAAAATGGCAACAATTACGTGCAATGACTATTGTAAGATCCAACTGAGACAACGAAGAAGAAAAGAAATTCAGTACACAAAATTAGATCCTTAAATAATTTAGTGACTAAAGGTGATCTAACCAAAATTTTTGTTTGTGGGGTTTTCTTTTTTTTTTTTTTGGGGGGGGGGGGGGGGGGCTATATATAGGTGGCACTTTATTTCTCTCATACTTTTTGCTTTATTAGAAAAGTAAACTCAACGAGGTTCTTTAGTTTCAAGTGGAATGGCAAAGTAGTGATATTGGATATTAAACTAAATTAATCTGCTTGTATTTTATTTTTTATTTTTTATTTTTTTGTGTTGCAAGATTAGTTTGACTTATTGTTGACTTAGTACATTGAAGGCAACTACACCGAATTGGTAATTTAAGCAATATATAGTGAGACAATACTTGGCAGGAAAAAAAAAGGCAGAAGTGTTTCTGTATGTTAATGTTTACAACTTAGTATCTCAGTTAGTATGTTGGCATAAGCTCGGATTGAGATGGTTATTTTTTTTCATTTCAATGTTAGATTTTGGACTTCTTCTACGGTAGCAGACATCAATCAACTACTGAACTATCACCCCAATGGAGAATGGAGTAGTCAATAATTTAGTAGAGTTTCTTCTAATATTCAGTCTCATTCTACTCTTGGAAAAATGAGTGAAAATATAATGCCTATGGCCTCATGCACATGGCGGGCTATTGCACGGGGAAGAGTTTATCCAGTGCGCACTTTCGAGTAGCAGCTACGGGTTCTCTTGTCAACCAAAAAAAAAAGGAAAAAAATTACCGGTGGAGATTGGACCATATGCTTTAAGAAGTAATGCAATAAATACACCCACAAAAGACTAAATGTGGACACTAAGATATTAACATGGACGCTAAAGTATTAACGTACAAATATACCTTGTCTACCTTAATTCCATCCGACATGGAAATTGGGTCGACTAACAAATCGAGACCTTAAAAACCTGTCCAGAGAGTGTAATTAGTTAATTGCACGATTAGAACACGGAATTAACGAGCTTATATTGACTCTGAAGAAAAATTGAAAATCAAATAACTTTTCCAATGTCGATTGTTAGATATATACTAGAAGCTTGTTAGTCGGACTCCCAAAAATTTTTGTATTCTATATTCAAGATAAATAACTTTCTTTTTCATATTTATTTTTATCATATATTAAGTAGTACTGAGAAACATGCAAATATTATACATCATACCGTTCAATTTTATAGCATTATGTGTCGGGTTTAATTTGATCTTTACAGCTGCTTAGTAAGAATAGAGACTAAAGGCGTGATTTGTCATCTTTGAGAACTAATGAATTAACACCTTTACAAGTTGCTTAATATGCAAATATTATACATCATACTGGTCAAGTTTATAGCATTATGGTCGGCTTTGATTTGATTTTTATGGCTGCTTACAAGAATAAAGACTAACTGAAGACGTGATTTTTCATCTTCAAGAAGTAATTAATTAGTACCTTTACAAGCAGCTTGGAGGATATAGCGGTATCTAGCCTTCATTCCCTATGTCTCCCAATACTTCTCTCTCATATCTTAACGGGATATTTTTCTTTTTTTTTTTTTTGGTTTGGAAAGAGGTAGGCAACTATTTTTTTTTTTTTGGTAACCGGAACATGCCTCGACTTGAACCACGTAGGATTCGAACCGACACATCAAACCGAAGGAGTACGCCACGGCCTCACGCAACACACCCGGGCGAGTCACGGGAGTTTAAGTTCAGGATAAGATTCGAACCTAGAATCAAAGGAGTTCTTAAGAGTTCGCTTACCACTGGACTACCCCGTAGGAGCAAGCAACTACCTTTTATTCTCTTGGGTGGCTAGTCTACAACCTGTTGGTGAATATAGAAGTATAGAAACTAATGAATTTCACTTTTAAATCTATTATGTTTTAAAAGATTGCACATTTTACACTTAAACGTTTTTTCATTCCTGACATCTTGGCAGTATTTTTGACAACCATTTAGTGTCACTTTACACTTCCAATCTTTGAATGCTTCATATTTATCTCAAAATATGTATAATGAAACTATATGAACGGTATCCTGAAATTTGACATCAAAATCCATGAAACCCACACAAAATTTAGTGAAAGCATATACGTTCTTGCTCACTTTTATGGATAAAATTAACAACCATTTTGGATAATTTTGAACATTTTGATAACTTTTCAGTATGAAGTGTTTAAAATAAAATAGTTCCGAGGATGAAAACGTAAAGGGTGTAGAACAGAACAAGTTTATGTGATTTGATCATTCACATTATTTGATGTATTTATCATGGGGAGGAAATCAAGAAAGGCATCTCTTTTGGCTTAGAGTCGAAATATATCTCTCACAAGGGGGGAATCTGCTATTACTACCCCTTCTTGGCACTTTTTTCTGCCTTTTGTACGGATTTCTGAACCATACCATTGTGCTTTAGTCCATGTTATGATGCTATGCTGTACCGTCAATTGGGTGGGTGGCCAAGAATCCCTTTCTTCCAAAAGAAAAAACCAAAGGGAATCAACTTTTGCTGAACAATTTATTTCTCCCATTTTTATCAGTGGTCTTAGATGCAATACAATGTATACTTCATCTGCTTAAAAGAAATAAAAGGCAAAGTAGTCATACTTAGCAAGCCCAAAAGGATGTGATTTACATGGATTCTCTCTACACAATCTAAGGATTTGGTTCCGTTCATCTGGAGAAGTCTAATTAATGCTAAGTTGAAGCAAGTTTTGGTACATATCATGACCAGCGGTCAAGAAGAAGGCAATGTCTTTTTATTAAAATGGGTGCATTTATCTTCACTTGCTTGAAGATTCTGTTCATTCTTCTTTTTCAGTTATTTGGAATTCATGACTCAAATTTTTGTAATATTTTGCTGTTTCTTATTAATTTGATTTCAGAATTAAAGTCATTTTAGGGCATGCCTATGCTGTACAAATTACACGTGCAAAGTCATAGCATAATTGTCCATATTTTGACTGTACCTGCTGATCTGAGGCCTTTAGTGCAAAAAGCTAATATTTGTTGTCATTTGATTATTTCATCCACTGATTTTAGGTTCTGATATTTTAGACAGTCTGTTTGGTTGATTTTCTCATTTGCTTTTGTATTCATAATTTAACATTTTTAATAACCAAAAGGATTGAAATTTAGAATCTCCCTGAAAGTGGTTTTGACTGATTTTGATTTTTCTTTATGATCACTTGTCATAGTCAATTTTTGCAATAAAGAAGCCCTAAATTTGGTGGCGCTATACAAAATAACAGCAAAGCAAGAATTTCTTTGATTTTGACAATCTAAGGGAATCCACGAGCCATGTATCCTTTTGCCATCATAATCTTCTAGTAAAGGAAGGAGACTGTTATCATCTATTAATTCTTTCACTTTCCGTCATAAGAAGCAAACCTCAAAATGTTTATGCAACTAATTGAGATTCTATTCTGTGTGAGACACATTAAGGTACTATACTATAGATTCCAATCCAAACACCAACTCTGGAAGCAAATTTTTACAGCTTTCATAAGAATTCCTGCTTGAATAAAACTATGTACAATTCCATGGCTCTAGGCCTCTATATATACCTCATGCAATTCAGGTTTTGTTCAAACCAAGCCTCAAACTTCCTCTCAATTCTCAACTCAATAATAGTGCATATTCTGAAGTTCTTGACTAGACTTTTTTTTTGTCAAAGGTAGGATGGAAGCAGTGAGGAGATTGGGGTCAGAAAAGCCAGTGGTGATCTTCAGCAAGAGCAATTGCTGCATTTCACATGCTATTAGGATGTTGTTATGCAGCTTTGGCGCGAACCCTACTGTTTATGAGCTTGATCAACATCCTAAAGGAAGGGAAATTGAGAATGCATTGCTAGCATTAGGATGCCATCCAAGTGTTCCTGCTGTTTTCATAGGGAAACTATTTGTTGGTGGTTCCAATGAGGTTATGAGCCTCAATATTCAAGGCAAGCTGAAGCCATTGCTTATCGAGGCAAAGGCTATATGGATGTAATAACCAGAATATAGTTAAGCGCCCAAAGGATTTGGTTTTGCTATTTAAATTGTTGTCTTTTCCTTTTGAGCAAAGCAACCCAAATTCAGGTAGGGCTTGAGCATGGACTCCTACCATTTTTATTAAGTCTAAGTTTTATTGAGTTTTGAGTGACTTTTAGTCATTGTAATATGAAATGCAAGTCAGATATTCCATGTACCGTTCTGATTTTGATGCACTAATAAGGTTATAGTCAATGATGGTATTTAATGCCCAATTGTCCTATTAACATCTTGTTTGTTTGAGGTTTTTATTTTAAGTGGGAAGGGATAAGAGATAAGCTTACTTAATTAATTATCTTCCCTGGTAGTTTTGCTTTGAAGGATGTGATTTAAGCTTTTTAATTTTAACTGATCAATTGGAAATGAAATGAGTTAATAGTTAATTTTGTTCTCTCAGGACTTTTGATTTGCTGGATAGCTGTGAATAGTCTGGCTAGATTGGTTGTAGTAATTTGAAAACCTAGTTATTAAGAACTCGTATTATACCTGTTAATCTGTATAATAAAAAAAAAAATTTCATTTAAAAGTTATTCTGAATAATACTCATACTTTTCAACTAATCTATATAAAACATGTAATAAACTTTTGGTATATTATATTTCACAAATTATACTTCAATTTTTAAAAAGTTTTAAAATTTGTACAAAGATAATAGCATACCTTCCGAGTTATATACAATCTAGCAACTTCTTAAATCATAAATTTTATAGGTATAAAAATAATAAGGTGATGAAATAATAATAATTTTAATATCTCATAATGAAGGATACGAGCTCGTATTGGTACTAATACAGCATAGTCTCCGAGAATTGTAATAATCTTTTCCATACTTTTAGTTTCATCATATATATATATATATATGGATTAATCTTTTCTATAGTGACAGTGTATACATTATCAGCGTTGGATGAATGACAACTATGTAAAATTTAAAGTTGAAATTTAACTTTTGCATAAATGTCATGAATTCAACGATGATAGTGTATCCACCGTCAATGTAGGAAAGATTTACTATATATATATAATTGTATCATTTACGCATAAATTTATATGATTAATTTCACTAAATTCTTATGCGTAATTTTGACTGACTAGTATTTATATGATGAACTTGTACCATCTTTAAAAGAAAAAATTACGTGTAATGTTCCGTATGATATCTGCTGGCGAAGTAATGAGTTGACAACTCATACTTGAGAAAATTAGGTTTAATTGCGGAGTTGAATCATTCTCTTCTCATCAATTTCCGTTTAATCCTCATCAACATGGATTTGGAGCTAGAAACGTCGTCGTACGTGTCATATTTCATCTGAGAACCCAAAAATTTTTTCCCTCTTAAGCAATAATCGGAGCTAAACCCTAAAGCCCAACTCATCGGCTTTGAAACCCTTCTCTCTCTCTCTCTCTCTCTGTTTTGGACGCTTGAAATCGCCCATGAACTTGGACAAGGACCATCATATTAATTAGTGGATTCTCTACAAAATCCCAAAATCCATTCATCGATTCCACTCCTGAATTTTATTCTACTATGGTGAATTCGTTGCCGGAGGATGCCCTGGCAGAAATCCTCGTGAAACTGCCCGTCAAGACATTGTTGAGATTCTGCTGCGTCTCTAAAACATGGTTCGCTTTGATCAACAGCCCTTATTTTGAAGACAAGCATCTGAAATACTTACACAGCAAGAATCGCAAAGTCGTCCTCGTCAAGCGGTTCATCAAGAACGAATTCAAAACCCTGTTATCATTCCATTCTCACGATGAAGATGAATCTCTCCCCAGTGTTGCCCCTAATATAGAGCTACCTTCGTGGAATCGTTACTCATTCGACATATATGGAGCGTGCAATGGCATCGTTTGCTTCTCGGATCTCTCCGAAATTCATCTGTGTAATCCTGCAACACGCCAATTCCTGACACTTCCTCCAAGCCTCCGCTTTGATCCACCAAAAGGGTTCAAATCGGTCAGTCCACATGCTTTAGGGTTTGGCTTTGATCCATCCACCCAAGATTACAAGGTAGTCAAGCTATATAAACTTTATCCAAAATCAAGAAGTAATTATTCTTATTTGGGGATGGTGATGGGAGTTCAAATATACAAGCTCTGTACAAATTCTTGGAGAAAGGTTGATCTTATCCTTCCACAAGTAGTGAACATTTATCCCCCATGTTTCCCTGCCACAGTCAATGGATGCTTTCACTGGGATGCATCTGACATCGACCCTGAGTCGGGGTCGGTCATGAGAAATATCCTTTCTTTCAACATGTGCACTGAGTCTAAGGAATTATATTCTGTTCACTTGGGGAAGTCCAACGTTTTGTTTTGTTCAATTATATCTATTGTTTGATAGACCACAATAAAAATCATTCATTGAAAATACGAATGTTATATATTGGCCCCAATCATTCCTCACTGATTACCAATTAGATTTCAAAGTAATCAACTCATTAATAGAATGAACCCCATTTCGGTTCATATATATATATATATATATATATATATATATATATATATATATATATATATATATATAAATTCTTCAAACTAGAGAGAGAAGTAGTCTTGAAGAAATTGTGTGTGTTTGTGTTGGGATTGAGGGGTATTTATAGCAAATTTATTTTTTGTCTGGTTTTGTTTATATATATATAAGAGAAAGTGATGAAAACCTGTACCAATAGTGGGGTTTATGATTGTGATTCCTATTGCAATTTTGAATCCGATTCAAAAATACAATCAAACACCTCCATGGCTTAATCCACTTGAAATTATAATTACCATCTGTACAAACTTATCCCAAACCAAAGCAGAGAGAGGAATTTATAACAACTCCCCAATTTTGATTAACTTGCTTTGTTCACACTCTCACAAGTACAAAAGATAAAATAACAATATCTTATAAATGTCTCATAAAATGATGCAAGGGTTGTCATAAAATTTCTTTTTGCAATTAATATTCTCACAATGCAAGTATAATAGTCTATATATTTCTGTTTCAACTTGCTGAAACCATAGACAGCTGCGCATATCAAGGGGTGCATTTACCTACTAATTTTGAACTATAAGTTACTATTAATCACTAACTTTTTAAAGAAAAAAAGAAAAAAAAAAGAAAGCTGTCTTATTATTCATTCCATCGTCAATTGATGCGATGTAAGAAATTCTTTGGAAACTTCAAGGGATCGTACGTGCTGTAAGAATTTCTTTGATATTGACAAATCTAACTGAATTCGTGATCCATAGTAAACCTTCCAGGCCTTAGAATCTTTCTAGTAAAAGAAGAAATCATCCACTACTACTTTTCTAATTTTTATGTTGTCAGCATGCTAACGCAACTTAAGATTCTATGTGTTACATAAGACAGATTGAACCTTTACCCTATTCGAATAGCTGCTGATATTTCTGAAGCATCAACTTTAGAAGCAAAATCTGACACATTTCCCACTTTTCCTATCTGAACAGAAGTATTACAATCCATCATCCTTAGCCCTCTATATATACCTTTGTACAATTCAGGATTTTTCTCAAACCAAGTCATAAACTTCCTATCAACTCAAGTAGTAGTTCGAACTTTTTAACTTCTTGACTAGCAAGTTTTATAGAAAGTAGAATGGAAACAGTGAGGAAATTGGGGTCAGAAAAGCCAGTGGTGATCTTCAGCAAGAGCAACTGCTGCATTTCCCATGCTATCAAGATTCTGATAAGCAGCTTTGGCGCGAACCCTACGGTTTATGAGCTTGATCAACTTCCAAAAGGAAGAGAAGTTGAGAATGCATTGCTAACATTAGGATGTAATCCTAGTGTTCCTGCTGTTTTCATAGGTAAGATTTTTGTTGGTGGTTCCAATGAGGTTATGAGCCTCAATGTTAAGGGCAAGTTGAAGCCACTGCTTATCGAAGCCAACGCTATATGGATGTGATTACATTTCAGGCACCATCTATAGATTTCTTTTCCTCTGTCTTTTTTGGTTTTGTTTAGTTTTTTTCTCCCTTTCTTGCATAAAAGCCACCTTGGGGGTGTCAAGGATTCTGGCATGAAGCTGTACTAGTTGTACTAAGACCGGGTTTTGGAGCCTTTTTTAGTTTTATTAGCATATAAAGTCAGGTATGTCCGTGTGGTCACTTTTTAAAGTCCTCTTCTAATTAATCCAAGAAGAATAAATAACTTCAGTGAATATTCTTCTTTTATATATTTAGTTTGATAAATAATTTAATAAATTTTACTTAATATATAGTAATACAAATGGCGATTGTGGTATTTAAACTTGACCACTAGATGTCCTAATTACCAACTCAACTTAAATAATTAGCGATAGGGAATCGAATCCTAAACAAAGTGATGCACGATTCATGACTTTCAAGAATGTTTCAAAAGGGTTCAAGAAAACCTTTGAGTGCATTAATTCATGAGAACAGGGCTTAATTAACCAATAGAATAATTGGTAATTAGTCTTGATAACGATGTATTAATTACAATAACCTTTAATTAGGCCTATTTAAGCCAGTTGAAATATGCAAGGAAAAGGCAAACAAATAGAACACAAAACTACTAAAAATTTCACGCAGCTGTCCAAAGTGAATCAGGATAGGGATGTGGTTTGAGACCCCTTAGGATTCAGCCTAGCGAAAGGCAACCAGTACTATTGACCAGCATGGCATCCTTCTGTAGCCAGCACCTGTTGAGCTTCCTCTACACTTGCAAGAAGCACGATTTCAACAAAATCTTGTTAGGTTTATTTGCCAAAAATTCTTACTTTCGTAAGAAAATGTCAGAAAGAAAAAAAAAACAAAATCTTGCTACTAGCGGCTCCAAGCCCTTGTTCAAAAGGATACTAAGAAATAAAAGAATGAATATAAATACTAAAATCATAACTACACGAACAACACATAAGAATTCTAAATGGTTTCTTGGCAGATTTATTGATGGTATGGAATTAGGTCTCAAACCCAAGATTCCGTTTTCCACATCAGGCAGACAAACCTCACTAAACTGATCAACGACAAAATCTTGCAAGAACTTTAACCCATGACTTCTCGAGGCTTGTGAATTGTTAGCTGATCAGGTCAGAATGCTCAAGCAGCAGCTTGCTACTGCTAACCTCTTAATTTGTACCTTATATATCCTGAAAATGGAGACCAAACCATCTGGACTGCTTGTTGTTCAGGTTCTTTTAAGGTTAAAGAAACTTTGAAGCCCTTGAGAGCAGTTAATCCATTTGCTTTACAAACACAAATTTTATTGCCTAAAATAAAAGACAAGAAAACTTGCACAAATATCAAATTGATTGAATCAAATAATGAGCGGGTTACAATCTCTGAAAATTCTTGAATCAAAGAAATTAATCCCCTGATTCTTCTCTTCGAATAGCTTCAATTGAAGGGCCGAAAGGCTTGTTCTCCAATCGAAAGGGTGTTTCCTACAATTTCGGCGTAGAAAACGATTGACTTGATGATGACGTTGAACACTTGGAACTCTTAAGTCTTCAGCACCAATGGCAAGAGGATTTGTTTGACTTGATTTGGACTTGGATAGAAGGAAAAGCTCTTGAGAGAATTTGACAGAGTTTCTCCAAACGTTAGGGATTTTTCTATATCTTTGCCTTGAGGCAAGACCTTTATTTATAGCCAAAATATGTAGGCTAGGTCTTCAAGAAAACCCCCAGAATCCCCTGCATTTTTGGATCACTTGTTCCTCAAGAAATCCATTGAACTTGGGCTTAAATAATGGGCCAATCTAAATAGTCAATTGTGAATAAATCAATTAATTCACTCAATTTAAATGGACATTACAAATTTAATTTGACTTAATAGCCCATATAATATTGGCCCAATTTGACAGTCCAAAACATAATGGACTTATACAATTTAATTTAATTTAATCAAGATCAATTCAATTCATTTAATCTTGACTAAATAAATTTTATTTGTCTACAACGTAATATAGCTTTCAGTTCTGTTCTCGACTACAAGAAAAAAAAATTACAAGAACGATCGTAATGTACATATCAAATTATCAAATGTAGACACTTAGACAACGACGTGCAAATATTAATATAGTGTTTGCATTAGAAACTGTGTTTTTATTTTTTTTAGTGTCCATAATTGATATTTAAATATCTATATCTATTGTGTTAGTACATATATTGCGTCTACAAATTGTTTTCAACGATTGCTGACTTGATGACTAACCTTGGACATAATCTTACCATCCTGTTTTGTTATTTTTGAATGTGTATACATAAACCACGCCTTAACTCAAACCCACAATAGAGACGACAATTTGGATTGAGATCCATTTATCCATCCATATAATCCATAATTAAATGGATTTGGATTATCCATTTATAGTGTTGGTTTTAAATGGTTGACCAAAATAAAATCATTAAATTAAATGGATTTATATGGATTATCCACAAAAGCCATATATATCCATTTACTTAAAAACCAAATAAAAGAAAAGGAAAGGATTTCTTGTTACATGTTTTTCAACTCTATCTCATTCCTCTGTTCCTTAGTGTTGGCCTCCTCCGCATTTATTCCACCGGCCTTATGAACATGCTGATGATGATGGCAACTAGCAACACACATCGCCACCATATGTGTACAAAAAAGACAGCCTGCTTAAGTCTTGCTCAGAAGTGACAAATAAAGAAAGGCAGCCTTTACCTTTCCAGTATGACTAAATGCTTGTGTTCCATTCTGGTTTTAACCCAACTTAAGGATTTAGGCTTGATAAGTGCGCAAAAAAGTAACAAACTGTGTCGGGTTGACCTCCCTCCTTAGATTATGATATGATTCAATCCCCATTAATCCCCCATTAATTACCATATGGCTATTTGTACAACAATCTTCATGGTTAGTTCCAATTATTTTTGTCATTTATTGATTTTTGTCATTTTCAACAACTAAAATTTACAAGTACATAAAAAAGTATCTTCATATTACAAGAAATGGTAATACAAAAAAAAAAAAGTAATCAAAATATTTAAATGGATTATAAATGGATAATTGGTTTTTATTTAATCCATTAAGTCAAAACCAATTATAAACCATTTATCTATATTGCCACCTCTAACCCACAAGGACTAAAATCATATTGGATAACAATGTAAAGCCTCAACAAGCTATATATAGATTGGACTAAAATCATTTTCGGACCTGTACTCGATTTCTCCAGTTAGAAGTAGGGTTGTTGATAAGTGAATATTTAACGTACATTTTGTATGAATTTGGCATGAATTTTTGGTATGTTTTGAGAAGATTAAAGCCATATTTAAATTCTTTTGGTGATAATTGCTTAAATATTGTTTAAGAGTTAAGAAATTGATAAATGAGTGATTAATGCGTAATT